ACTTCAAATGTAAAATTATAGAAAACAATAAATATTTGTGAAAGAACTCATTAATGATTCATGAGCTAGTAGGCCATTCGAGGTATCCCAATTTGGTCACGTGAATAACCTTTATACGACTTTAAACACAGATAGGTTCTGGGAATATCTTTAAAGCGACACACGTACCATCATATAGAGTCAATTTCGTATGAGTGGGAAACGGACGGTACTGTGTATTGTCACCGTAAACGTACTGGTAACCAAATTCTTGTGTCTCATTGCTTCACAAAAATTGTGCAGGCCAGGTCCGGTAACTGTGCGGTAACCGTGCGGTTATAGACCTCTGCAGCTTTTACGTCATGTACCGTATACGCAATGCATTGTAGGATATGTTTGGGACAGAACATGGCGGATTTCTTTTGTTTTCTCTTGAAACTGATCCCACAATGCATTGAAAATCAAGTAGTGACGTAAAGGTTCAGAAGTCTATTTCTACCGTACGTTTCCCACTCATACGAAATTGACTCTAACGATGCCGGTATCTGACAAAGACAATTTACATGAAATTTACAGAAAAAAACTAGGTTGATATACTTTGTAAATTAAGGTCACGCCGCGTTTTTATTTTTACAACTTAAAATTTTTTAATTCATCTGCGATGTTATAGGAAATACGTACTGTGTGAAAGTTTTCAATAAATTTGATCCTGTAAAATTGCATGATCTATGGGAAATTTTCGTCGTGTTTACAGCAAATCTAGAGTTTTTTTCTTTATTCTTTCTATGCTTATTTTCTAATTATTGAGCAAATAAGTATTAACACGAACCAATTAAAAACTGACGTCAGTATCCAATGTAATCGTTTGTTCTATTYCATTCTTTACGATGGACATGCTCTCGAATGTCAGAAGCTTTTTTCGTACTAAAAACAAGATTCAAGTGGCGGAATTATCCCAGTAAAAACRATTGTTCGCAAACCGTTTCAAACATCTTTCCAACCACCGTGAAAAGTGCAACAGGTAGTTTAATTAACTCGTTCGATTAACTTCTTTTCAGACACACGCCCAGACATTATAAATCACGTTCTATGAATTAYTAATATATGAAAAGGTCTCAAATAATCGCTCATTCACTTTTAGAGACCTGGAGTTGAAAGGTAGATCCATTAATTTTCTTAATTTAGCACTAACTTTTTTAACACTCAAAGTGTGAAAAAAATGAAGAGTTAGACTAGTACTTCTCAATAAACTAGTTGAAATTAGTAATGAACTAGCTATTGTTTATTCGATCGTTTGTTTGTTGTTGCTATTGAAAGTGTTTGTTTTAAAAATGTTATCATATTGTTATAAATATGGTAACAAACTCGAATATTTAATTCAAAATCATATAGGCCACAAAAGAAAACAATGCAATCAAATGCAATGGACTCTAACACGTTTAATCTTCTATTTTCACTCGAGTCAGTAATCTGGCTACTTTGAAGCCCACTAA